GCTGGCCAGTTTTCAGACTTCTCCAGAATCCAATGGGGCCAACATGATTCACTGAATTCTTTATGAATTAAGAAGCTGTAAATTATGCATCTTTTTTTTTTTTTAAACATGCATTACTTTCCCTGCTTCACAGCCAAGCCGAATAAACAGTATCACAGAGGCAGTTTCCTCCCTGGGAAAAGCTCCTCCTCTCCCAGCTCTTCAAATGGAGGATCATCTCGTGGAAGGGTCGTCTAGTGAATTTGCAATAAGTTTGAGTCAGGAGGCCAACTTGACATTCTTGGGAGTTTGAAAGTGCAAACTGGTATCTCCGCAGAACATTTTACCACGAAACTTCCTAGGGCCAGGTTTTAGGCAAACAGCAAGCAGAAATCGCACACATATAACTGAGTGGAAATGCCAGGGCAAGAAATCCAACTGCAGGGAAATTCAGCAACTGGAAAAGGGAGTGGCTTCTACAGGCCTGATATGCTCTCCCTCGCTTGTCAATCACAATAGTTGCTTTTCATTAGCAGCCTTCATTCTTTCATTAACGGTGTCGCCGGTGCCAGGTATCTCCTTGCCTCGGAAATAAAGGAGCCTGGACTCCAGCTGGAGAAGAGTCTCCTGTGCTGGGATGTACCCCAGTGAGCCTGTGCTCAGCTCTGGCCCACCTTATGATTCTAAAACCAAAAACGAAGGCAGCCACCTCTGCCCTGGGCAGCCAAGTTTCTGGATCTGGACAAAGAGAAATGAGCCCAAAGAGAAGTGCCTTTTCACGGCGTGGCTGCTAGAAGTTGAATTTGTATCCGTTCTAGCAATAATTTATTTTAAAATTATCTTTCGGTGAATACAAATGAAGCATGGTTTGGAAATAGAAACTTCTAGAAATCTAATTGCTTCCAGAAAATATGGGAACTCGCTATAAGATGCTTGAACAATTTTGGGGAAAAAAATGTTATAACAGCTGTGTCTTTGTAAAGATGTGTCAGACAAAATGATTTTGCTCAAAAAGCATAGGACTTGGCCCAGCCCAGTCCTCTTCTCCCTTTACTATGCAGGAAGTAAAACATCAGGTCCCAGTGATCCAACAATACAGTCATGGAGTTGAGGCCAGGCTTCTACTCCTGGCAGGGCCTCTGACCCACCCCTAGACCCAGGCCCCATTCCTACGCCTGTGAAACAAGAGTTTCCTCGTGCCCTCCAGGGACCCTGCACATTCTAGGATCCCTTTACCCTTTTCCACTTTCTTACAAACCACCCAGCATCACAAGATGGTATTATTTCACCCGCTCGGCAGGCTCCGAGGCCCTGGTCCTCTCTCAGCTGTATGCTAAGCAGTGCTGCAAGGCTCAGGGCCAGGAGCAGAACTGCCTGATTTTTGGCAACTGGATAAAGCAAGTGGCTTTGAGCACTGAGATCTGGATTAATGTGGGTACACCAGTAGCCCCCTTTCGGGCCAGCCCCCATGACTCTGTGTGCGTGCAGTGTTTGGGGAGAGGCCTCATCACATTGCCCCGCGGGGGTGGCCTGCCCCGCCGGCCTCCTGGGGTGTGGGGTCCCCCTGTGCTCGCCCCCAGGGGAGGGCCTCGCGGAGGGGCCAGTGGTCTCCTCACAGCTGCCCTACACCCCACCGAGACACAAACAACACCCTCTTTTGAGTCAAACAACTGACCACCTGGGCTTGCCAAAATGAGGACAGGCTCTGAAAGGGGGCAGTTTTATTTCAAGGGTTTAATGGACCCAGGAGATGAAATAAAAAGTTTCAGCTATTAAAAAAAAAAAAAAGGCAAAAGACCGTCTTCTTTCCAAATAAACAAACTATCCTTTGAACAAGAAAAGATTCTAACTGGGTCAGGCTGGGGCCAGGTCATGAAGGAGTCACGTGTCCCTTGGGCTCCCCTCTCTATTCCAGGCTCCCCTGATTTCTCCTTCTGCTGTTTTGGGTAACCCAGTGTTCTCCTGCTGGGGCTCTGCCAAGGAATCACATGAGCTCATGGGACGTAGGCCCTTCCCAGGACACGGTGCTTACACTGGGAAAGGGGGCCCCTGCAAATATCTAACGGTAGAATTCCAGGCCGGGAAATTTCCCCAGAATCTCTCAAATCACACCATAAAAGCAGCTCCCTGCCTGCCCTTCAAACATAGAAGATTTGCCTCAACTAAAAGCTTTCAATAACTCTATGGGTTTGTTTTTTTTGTTTTTGTTTTTGTTTTTTAAATTTAAACCATGATTTTTTTCTCTCCCTTTTACAACTTCTCTGGCGAATGATTACGACTTACTGTGTGTGTGAACGTGTGAAGACTTATGTTATTGGCAATGATTTCCCGGATGGCAAAAACATGACAAGGTAGAAAAACCTAGAGAACTGCCCTCAACTTCCATATTAATATGTGTTTGTTTTTTAGTAAGTAGAATGCTATTTAGGCCTCCAATATTTCAGCCCCTCTTCTGGGTGCCAGGGACATAGATGGAACTCTGATCCTATCCTGTCCTGAGAGAGCTTATAGAATGTTGGGAGGACAGGAGAGAAGTTAAGACAAGATCTTAGCCAGAGAAATAATATCACCAGCACAGAACCTTGTGAGAGCACAGAGGAAGAACATCAGGACCTCCCTCTATAACTATGCAGCTTGTGCCCTGCATAACTCTGGGGTAACCATCCCACAAACTCCATTTTTAATAGAGCCATGTGGACACTTTGAGTGTCAGCAGCCTTGTGAGACTTGCAGAGAAAGCATCCAGGGATCTGCCAGATACAGGTCTAGAGCCAGAGGGAGGTCCTGACCCCAAGAAAGATGGTGGAGAACTGCTGAGAATGTGGGAAGGCTGATGGGATAACATATCCCCTGCTGGGAGAAGGGCTCAGGCTTCCTCACAGAGATTTGGGAGAAAGAATCACTGATTAAGGTGTGTTGGCTTTGGGGTCATTCAGGTTATTTCTCAGCTCACTTCGAGAAACTAGAGTGACTCCCTGAGCTATACACGATCTGCTGTCTCCAAGCCTGACTTCTCTGAATTCTCCTCCTGCCACTCTCCAGGCCCCACCCCTCACGCGGCACCAGCCACACTGTTCTCCCTGCTGATCTCCGAACTAACCACAAGGTCACCCACTGCAGGGGCCCCATGAAAGGAAAAGTTTTCTTTTTTCTTTCTGGTTTTCTCCCCTTAGCTTCTTTTCCTGCTCCCATTCTTGCTAGGACCTGCCCCCGCTCCCTACACATGCCTTACCTTCACGCATGTCCTCCCTGCAAGGGACAAAGGGATGATGACACCTTTGGAGTTTTCCAGCACAACAGATGATATCTAAGGAGTGAATAGGCAGAGGCACCACGTGCCTATTGCAGACCCCTGGCGCTAGATATCTCCATGCCAGGACCACTGGCTTCGGGGAATGAGTGACTGATGAAGGACCCCTGGACCCTGTCCTTGTTCCGACCAGTTCCTGGAGGTCTGAGACGACACATGGACCAGACCATAATTGTCAATAAAAACCCCAGACTCCAAGCAAAGACAAGACTCCCTCTTTCCTTTCCAAGCCTCCCGGATGCTCCATCTAGATGTCTTTCTCTACAGACCTTCAATTAAGTCTGTTTTCACCTCCTGCTGGCTCGCATTTGATTTCCATCTTGCGTCAAGCCAAGGACCCTCTTGGCTGGTCCTGCGGGACTTCCGCTCTGGGTCCTGGGACCTGGCCTGCCTGCATCACTGGTAAGGGGTTCTATATTCTGCAAATGTACTTGTTGCTGAGAAAAAAATATGTAGCCATATTCATAACATGTAGTTTAAAGAAAAAGATTAGAGTTTTTGCCATCAAAATTTCAAAAAAAGCGTAAGAGCCGCTTTAAAAATATTTCATTAAAGCATTAGGTAGTTGAATAAATCCTGAATGGTGAGGCAAGAGGCTTAGTTTCTGGTCTCGGCCCATCTGTGAGTGAGTTGTTTTTGCACAAGATAAGACACAACCTTCGTGCATCTGTTTTCTCAACTGCACTCGTGGATTTTAAGACACGAAAGTGACATCATCCAAAATGCTCCCATCCTCCAAACATATACTCTTATTACATTTTTAAAAATTAAAAGAAGTTTGGTCATTGGCTGGACCTGGGAGTAACGACACTCATCCTTAGCTACAAGGACGCTCTGTGGCCTTGGCAGCAGTGGGCTCAGGCTCTGCGCCACTCTCCTGCCCTGGGAACAGAGGTGCATGGACGTCTCTTTACTTTCTGCTCCTTCTGCTTGTGTCCGACAGCCCAGGATGGGTCTGGGTGACCCCACCAGCCTCCCTCTGACACACAGACCAGGATTTCTGCTTCCGGACCACGGGCTCTCGGCTACTTAGCAAGCTTTTGTCAATTTAGGTCACAAGCAGGTGAGAAACGTACTTTGGCTCTGGTGTTAGCGGAAAGATGCATCACTCGGCCCTCCGTTTTTTGTTCCCAACTCTGCACTATGGAAACAGCTACTGGGGTCAAAGTTCACATCCCCAGGGAGCTGAGGGTCCCCAAACAAGGTCCAGAAAGATCATAGTTTTTGCCAAAACAGCCTGACTCTGTCGTGCCGTGGTGGCAAGAACCCGGACTTGACATCAGACGACCTGTAAACAGTCAGGCTTGTGTCCCCACATCGTTTATGGAATCGCAGGGTCTCCTCTGAAAACACCCCTCTCTCACAGGAAAACACTTTGTGACCCTCTCAGAGGGACTCCTAAACGCATCTAAATGCCAACAGCGCCTGTCAGAATCCTCTAGGAAAGGTTCTTCCTTCTCTAGGATCTAAAACCTAGCACTAAAGACAAACCGCAGAAAACAAGATTAGAAAGTCATTTGAGAAGATGTTCATCAGGATCTGGGTCATCTGGGACAATTAGCTTTTTCATTGGCAAAAACGTCATCCCCGAGGAGGGTGCCATGGAAATGCCACGGGGATGCCATGGGGAAGGAGAAGGAGAGCTTCCCGGCCTCCAGGGGCACGCCCGGGGCAGGGGAGGGACCGCTTCTGACGATGCGACAGGACTTACCAGGTAGCGCTCCTCCTGCCTCATGCTGGGGGTGCGGATCATGTGATTCTGTTCCCCTCTCCAGTCTCCAAATCGACGGAAAAAATAGTTAGATAAAAACCGGTTGACGGGGTCTCTAATGATGTTGATGTAGACAGGCTGGTCTCCTCCAAACCTAACACACGCACACAAACACGGAGCTGGTTACAACCCGTCACTTCTGGAGGAAAATAAAGCCCACGTAGACACTGCTTCCCCTCTAGGTCATATACTGTCATGAGAGGACCCCCATCCACTAAGGTCCCAGTGAACAATGTCATTGGCAAGAGCGTTTCCCGATGGGTATTTTACTATGTGCAGGAAGTGTCTGCAGGTACCTACTGGGAGGTTGGGAGGACTGTGGTGGGGCTCTATGGAAATGACTGGATTTGTCAGCAGGGAGGTGTAGATGTTGTCTTGTTTTCTCACTAGGCTGTGGGCTCCTGGGGGCGGGGGCATGCTGGGTTGGGTTTTGTATTCCCAGGGTCTGGTATGGACACACTGGCAGGTGGTTGGCCCTCACAGAACGTTTGATAAATTCTGATTCCCTCACTGGGTGAGATGGTGCCTTATTCTACTTCTGATTAGAACAGTCTCAGGTAAGGTGCTCTCCAGGAAGTGGGTAATGTCAGCCAACATTTATTAAACACACACAACATTTATGAAGTCACTTTGTTGTAAACACCTTTTGTGACCAACTCACAGAAGCCTCACAACATCTCCACGGGGTAGAAACCATAAACTTCCCCATTTACACCGGGGGGCAGCGAGAGCCTGAGTAGTTCGTGGCTGAGCCAGGCTACGAACCCAGGCAGGTTGGCTCCAGAAGCTGTGCTCTGAACCATGGAGACAAGACTCCAGAGTTGAGAAAAGTAATAATGTAAGGGACATTGTGAACACAGCAGAAATCAATATAAATATTCTCAAGTGGTTTTAGATAAAAATAAAACAATCTAGGTGTTTCATTTTAATGCCTTCCACAAAGGGACTGGACAAATGCTCTGAATGCTAGCCCGAGGGCAAGGCCTTCCCAAGGCAAAATGATAAGGTCAGCTGACTTGTTCTTAAGGATTCCTCCCCCTTCTCTTCAACCCGCTTAAAAACAGTAACCCCAAGAAGCCTAGGAGAACACTCCAGGCTCTGCAAAGAGGTCTTGCTCTGAAGGACCCCCTGAAGGACCCACAGGCTCCTTTTACCCTGTGACCCCATGACCTTCTGATGAGGATGCCTTGACATTCTACCAGGGGTCAGAAGGAGTTCAGAGAAAACAAACGGACATGAGCCTCCCCCTTCTCTTCAGCTGGCAGACTCGGTCACCTTTCAAAACCCAGCCCAGAATCAGTCACACCCCTCAGCAGGTCAGTCCCATGCTGTGTCCGCCCTCTCTCCAGCACTGTGCATCCAGGTCTGCCTCTCCCATCAGACTGCCTCCTGGAGCAGGGAATGATGTCACTTAGCACAGTGCATGGCACACAGTAGGTGCTCAACCCATGAAGACATGACTGCCTGGGTGTATGCTTCTAAGCTGGTAAGTTTCTGTTGCTATCACAGGGCTCTGCTGTAGAGGAAAGTTGACATAACAAGCCACCGATCCTTTTTTGTGTATTAATGCACGTAATGCTCATCCTCGGTTTATCTGCATTTTGAAAGCGAACCCTCAGAGAGAAGAATCCAAAGGTACAAAAAGAAATGACTCTCCAAGGGTGGAATTTCAGGCACCAAGTTGCATGAATGACATTCTGGACTCCTGGATGACTCCACCTTGGAAAACACGCTGCTCATGCCAGTACGAATCTTTTTTTTTTTTTAAGATGTCATTTATTTATTTGAGAGAGAGAATGAGAGAGAGCACGAGAGGGAAGAGGGTCAGAGGGAGAAGCAGACTCCCTGCTGAGCAGGGAGCCCGATGTGGGACTCGATCCCGGGACTCCAGGATCATGACCTGAGCCGAAGGCAGTCGCCCAACCAACTGAGCCACCCAGGCGCCCTGCCAGAATGAATCTTGTCAGCTCCAAGATGTATGCAGGTGACATCCATGCATCTGCATGAACACGGCAACCAACTAGCCTCAGAAGTCAGCTGTGCCAAGCCGGCTAGCCGCTATCATCTTGGATGGATCTTCCTCTTTTTAATTAAATTGAGTCTCCTATCTATGATAAGCAGCAACTAAAGTAATAAAGCTAAGGATCAGGAAGACAAAGCATGCCTACCAGATGTGAATGCAATTAAACCCTCAGCAACTGCATCATGCTTTAAAAAAACCTCAACTCTACTTCTATCTTCATGTGAAGAATGACCATCACTGCTAATTAGCAGAACTGCCCAATCATGTGAATCAATGCACAGCTTCCCATGGTGAGATAGTTCTCAAACTGGCCACAGCCATCTTCCCCCTAAACACTGTGGCCATGGGGACTCACAAGGCTTCCTGAGCATGGGTGACTTGCTCCCAATTGCACGCTGTAGCCCAAAGCAAGATCTGCAGAACAATTTTCCCAAACAGAAGTTTTAGATGGCTTAGGAATTTATTGTTAAGTATCAGATAATATAATAGCTACTCTCAAAATTTTTAACTGTAGAGAGATGTCTGATATATATCTCCCTCTTTCCAGAAATCAACAGTAGTAATGGTTTCAGGCTGCCAGCCCCAGTCCTTTTTCTAGGACACAGAGCTCCCTCCCAAACTGGCAAAATTGGGGTGGCATATCAGTTATACAAAGGAGGCCAGCATATCACCCCTTCCCTCCTCATCCTACCCTCTCTCAAGGTCAATTTTTCCTCCTTCCACACTTTTTAGTTCTAGTCAGAATTTCTGGTCACCCTTAGAAGGTCTCTCAATCCCCTGAACCTACTACTGCTGCTTGTATGAGAGAGAAAGAGAGAGAGAGAGAGAATGCTTTGCACCCCCACCCAATCTCACACAGCACAACACTCTGCCTTATGTTTTCAGCTCTGAAGAGACATTTCCAGAGCCTCCAGGTGAAGCCCATCCTATTAAGCCAGACAGCTGAGGAGTCTCTGGTACACCCAGCCAAAATTCCTAATCTTCCTTTATGTGCATTTCCTTTTGTTTGATCCACTCAACATAAAGAACTGGTTTCTCTTTATAGATTTTTTTTTTTTTTACAACTTTAAGCCTTTTCAGCTTCAATTTTAATTCCTTTAAATTCTTTTGTGTGTGTTTCTTCCTGAAAATTCCTTCAGCAGTTGTCTTCAGACTTACTTCCTTTTATTTTTTAATCTGTACTTCTAATTTGGTCTTTATTAAACTATTTGGCCTTTATTAAACAACTGTGCTGACCACAATGAGGATAGGTTCTGTGCTGTGCCTACACACTGGAGCACAGAAGTCAGGCCATATTTTCTTTTTCTCTTAACAACGCACACTCTTCTCCTTTGGTCACCACAACAGCTACTGTTTGAAGCTCTCTTTTAAGTCACCCCAAAATAGCAGGTATTCCCAATTTCTTTGACTTCTGTTCATACGTCCTATTTATCAACTCTTTAATCACCCCTGTGCGTCTCCTTCTGACCCTCTGCAAATTTATCATATTCTTTCTATTTTTGTTTTTTGAGGAGAGGATGAAGATCCCAAGCAGGATGTAATTCTCTAGGAATAATAATGACACGGTTCTCATTTTTTTCTCATGCATTCCTAAATCATTCATTCTGAGGATTTTCTTCTATATCTGCCCCCCACTGCTACTTTACCAATTAACCCACAACATTAGCTATTTCTCCAACAGCTGTGAAAAGCATGTGGGTAAGAATTTTAGGTATACTTTCATCCAATTGCTGATGATATTCTGCCTGGAATATTACTGCATATAGGAAACAATAAACCTTATGACCAAAATTATTCTAGGGAATTAAGACAGTTTTCTAGGGCTGGAAACACTTTTTGAAAGTATGTCTTTTTTTAAATTATGGTAAGACATACATAAGATTTTTTAAGTGCACCATTCAGTGGTATTAAGTACATTCACTCTGTTGTGCAGCCCTCACCACCATCCATCCCAGAACTTTCTCATCATCCCAAACCCAAGCTCTATATTCCCCTCCTCTTGGCCCCTGGCAATTTCCATTTTACTGAAAGTATATCTTTTCACCTCTGGTCTAAAAGTAGAGGTTCTCCTTGTGCTGTTACCTACAGGAAAAGATGGCAAGTACCCTGTGGCAAGAGGCCCAGCTTTGATCCTTGTCAGGTGAGGGAGGAGATACTTTGAAGTCAGAGAAAAGCCATCATGGAGAAGGATGTGACTAGGAGGAAGGGTGAGGAGCTACCCTCAGGAGGAAGAAGGGAGGGGTGCTTATTTACTGGTCCTTTGCTGGAATGGGGTGTAAACACCTCCCTCTATCCTCACAACCCAAGACCGTGGGCACTTGGGTTGTTGGCCACTCCCGGGATAGGGCCTCCCTTCACAAAACACAAGCAGAAGAAACTGAGCTTCCTCTGCTCCGTGGCGTGTCCTGAGGGAAGTAAGTGGAAGTATATGCTGATGGAAAGTGTGGACAAATGGGGTGAAGGCAGGGACAGCTGGGCCATGGGTTAGGGCTCCTGCTGGGAGACAAGCTGACTCCGCGAGGCGGAAGGTCGTTGGTGGTGTGCGGTGAGGCGGGCTCGGGGAAAGTCCAGATGATCCCAGTCTTCATCGGGCCCACAAAGCAGGTGGGCTTCTGTGTCCACCGAGCAGCAGAATCTCCCCTTGGGGAAGAGGAGACTGAGGGAGAGAGCGCCATTTTCCCAGGTCTGGCCCAGCAGTGTTTAAACAGCATAAAATTGAACTTCTGGGCGATGCTTAAGGAGGGAAAGAGAGTGTTCAACAACGGCTGATACCAATTTCTATCTTGATGCCCTCTTCAAAGTTAGAGACTTCTGTCACCACTACAAAAGATTTACAGGGCATGGGGGTTAAAGCGGAAGGCCTTGCTAATGAGAACGTCAAGTCAACATTTAGAAGGAAGATGTGGAAGGCCGATGGAATTCTGGAATCAGTAAGATGGGATTTGTTTTGTTAAACAGTGCCGTCGGAGGGCAGTCTCCCTCTGCTGGCGCGGGTAATGAAGGCCTCGCGTTAAGGGAAGAGAGGAAAGTGTCCAAAACGCCTCCCCTCGCACATGGCACCCTGCCTGCTTCTCGGGTGATTGATTTATTTTTAAATGTTTTGCTTTTGCGAGGTCGTACTGGCGTTGGAGCCACCATGGGACATAAATGAGGAAAAGCAGCAGAACGGAAGGAGGGTGAGCAAGTCATGAACGAGAAACGTAGCCTGCCGTGGAAGGAGGCCTCTGAGGTACAGTTGGAAATTGCTGAGCCCACTGATCTGTCCTGTAATCCGCTTGGATTATTTTGACAGCACAGTGCTCCGACCCAGCCTTTCCCAGGTTCTTCCCTGCCAGCCGCCAGGTTGGGGTTGAGGGGGCCCCTAGGCTGGAAAGTCACTGCCTCCTCTCCGCCCTCCCCAAAACACTTAGCAAACAAACAAAAAGTGGGGGTGAGGGGAAGATAAATTGAATTGTCCATCACAGTCTTTGCAGGGTGTGGCTCTGGGACGCCCTTAAAGAGGTTTTGTTGATGCTGAGAGGCTGAACTTTTTCAAAAATTGTAATTCTCTTGGTTAGCTCTGGGAATGGACACAGGAAAGCAGAGTACACAAATATTAAAAATCCTCCTAAAACATCACAACAAAGAGTAGCATCTTTTAGGCCATGGTCATTCTGACTCAATTCTCCAGGTAGTTTAGTTGGAAAACATTTGTCTGGCTCAAAGTTTTAAGCAGTTCAAAAGCCATGTGAAAAGAGCAGTTTTGTGGAAACACCCACAAATCCCAACCGGCCTGAAATTTCTGCTGGGTTCGGAGTTGCTTATCTCCCCTGGCAGGAAGCCTTCCCCGAAACAACGACGAAAATACCGGTTTGGTGTGATCACTCTTGCTTTCTATGGTTGAATTAATAAAAGTGGATATGATGAAATGGTCCTTTTAGGTCTAAAATTAGGGAAAAGAAGGAACAGAGCAAGATGCCTAGATGATGAATAAATGAAGCAAGTCAGCTATCTAATCGCCAAGAGCTCATGGGATAGTATTTTGCATCAGTTAGAGTGTCTACATTTTGAGATAAGAATGCAGTACTTAATGGAAAAAAAGAAATAACGGGCAATTCGTTTTGGTACAATGCTGTTCGCTTCAGCAGTCCAGAACAGTTATGTGCACCAGCTGTAGGGAGGTGAGACTTTCATTCTTATATTCTGCTCACCAGCAAGTGTCTTGCTGCATGTTAAGAATGTAAGGAAGATTAGAAATCAAATATCAACAAAGACTATTAAGTTACAGTATCAAGTCTTCTCTTAATAACCTCATTATCTTGAACCAAGCCAACCATATATATGGCTGTCAGCAATGATCAGGGTAGGTTTCTTAAGGGTAGCTTAATTATCTCTTCGCCTTACAATTCAAAATATAGAACTCCATTCTAAAAGCATAGGAAAGCCCTCAACACGTTCCGATGTGGTGGTTTTTCTGTGAATTGTGTACTGGGAGCTTTCTTTACATACCCAGTTTGCCATTTACAACTAAGGCCTTTCCCTTAAAGCTGTTCCCTGGAAAAAGAAAAGCTGGTGTTTTAACTTCCCATGTTCAGTGGGTTTAACCCAGTCTTGTAAAGTAGTAAGGCTGGATTTGTCATTCTGTTCATGCTCGTGGAGGTCTCCGACCTGAAGCCCCAGCCTCGTGCCTGGGGGTGGCAGGAGAGGATGAGATTGCTTCCGAAGGTAGCATGAGCTTTTTAAAGGAGAGAGCTGCTCAGGCCAGTCTCTCCTTTTTCCCCTGCTTGAAACTCTCGACTGTCATCTTTTTTTGCTGTGCCTGCCCCTGGGCTCCTATCTACTGATTCCTTTCGATCCCTCTCTTTCTCTGGCTTTAGCTCATGCTGGTCCTTGTGCTACCAACGCCCTTCCCCTTTGTCTGAAGCTGGCCCGTCCCTCACATCCCAGCAGCAATGGTGACTGTTCTAGAAAGTCCTTCCACACTTCCTCCTCCAGGGAGGGAGGGTCCTGCCTCCCACCTCCCCTGGGGGAGACCCCGTGACCGTTTCTCCTAAAGTCGTCACACTTTGTTGCCATTCTTCTTTAATGGAAGGAGAGTGTACACTTCCCCAAAAGCAAACTTTTTTTTTTTAAAGATTTTATTTATTTACTTAAGACACACAGACAGAGAGAAAGAGAGAGAGAGAGCATACAAGCAGGGGGAGCAGCAGGCAGAGGGAGAAGCCAGCTCCCTGCTCAGCAGGGAGCCCGATGTGAGGCTCGATCCCAGGACCCTGGGATCATGACCTGAGCCGAAGGCAGACGCTTAACCGACTAAGCCACCCAGGCGCCTCCAAGGAAAACATTTCTAGTTCATTGTGGAAGTCCCAGTCCTGGAGCAGCATATAGGAGATAGAAGGTCCTCAATACAAAAATGCGTTTATTGAACAAAATGGGATGGAGGAAGGAGAAATCAGCACGAGCTGGGCCCTGCTCTCAAGGTCATGGGGACACTGCGAAGCTACCCAGGGACAGGCACTCAACTGTAGGCCCCGAATGAGGCTTCAACAGAAATGCTCCTGAATGCCACAATGCCACTTTGCGATATTGCCCAGGTTGTCTTTAGGAAGCAGCAGAGAACTTCACAGACCTCTGCAAACTACAGAGGTCTACAAAAGTAACTTTGTAGAAACTACAAAGGTAATTTTTCCATAGGGCTAAGCGGTTGTCAGAGACATAGAAATGTGTATCGTTTCTAATATACAATCAAATAGACGCACAACCTGGATAGAAAAAAAAAATCAAAAGTGATGCAGTATTTCCAGCTGCAAATTAATAGGAAAGTATGAGAAAAAAGAAGATTATTGGGATATGTCAGAGGAAAGACTATTTACAACAATCTCTTTCATAAGGAAAATAGGAATATATGTTTCCATTTTGCTCTACTATAAATTGTTATAATTTATTCAGAATGATCTATGTTGGTACACGTTTTTTTTAAGTGTGCATAGTAGTCAATATATATCTGGACTTGTTTTATTTCAAATGAAATTATTTCCCCTTAAAAAATAACGTCCACACTGCACATGTGCAATATCCTTCTCTGAAGGAAGCTGAAGGGCTTTCCTTCATTCATGTGTTTGGATCATCCCCACAAGGTAGGAGTGGGCAGGAACTGTCCCTATTTTATAGATGGGAAAACAGAGACCCCCCATCCCTGCCCAGAGGTGAAATTGCTAGCCCAGAGCCATGGTCAGTGGGAAGGTCTCGTACACAGAGGTCCTGGCAGCCAGGCCAACACTATTTTCTGCAGATGTGGTATCTTCTCAAAGGTACTTACCAATTTTTTTCATGATTAAATTGATCAAAATTAAATAATTCTCAGACATGTATTTAATAGTGGAGGCCATGATAAGGTATGGTTGCCATGCTGTGCTCAGCTCTGCAGACCCAATTAAGGTACTGGCTTTGGCTTGTCAGTAGAGTTTTACACTGTCCTGAGTCAGTTATTAAAATTCATTGCATTGCAATTTGTTTTGGTTGTAAAAATTTGACCCATGAAGCAAGAAGAGTTAAATCACGAGGTTAGAGGATGTCAGAGGTGACGCAGAAGGAAGCTCACAAGAAAAGCAAGGGCGAGAGGAGCTGTGCTTTGCTCTCTGCAAGTCGTAAAACACAATGCCTGAAATAGCTAACAAGACTTCGTTATCTAGTTATGTCTAATTATATGTTCTTGGCTGGCTGGAAGTGAGAGGCAGGGCGCATACCCCAGACAATCCAGCAACAAGTCATTCCACAAATGGGGTTGGAAACACACTCAGGCTACTGAGTCACTGAGGATCATCTGCAGGTGTCCTATATGCTTATTCACCATCCAAGGGAACTCCGGTTATCAGGTAGGTGGGGAAATTTCCGGGGGAACTTGCTTTTAAAGATAAGGCGGCACCTTCTCTTTGCTGCTCCATAACTTGCTCCGCTGAATCTCACTCTCTTTACACTTGATTTGCACAGGGCCTGGTGCACAGCAGGGAAGTCCTTTGAAGGCTAAAACCTCCTCCCAGCCCCTATGCTGTTAGGCAACCTGGGGCTGGGCAGCTGTGCCAACTCTGAGCAGCTCAGGTGTGAATTCAGGAGCACGAACACTCAGGCGGAGCCCTGTCTTTCCCTGAGCACCAGCCTCCCTGGGTGCCTGGACCTCGAGGGTTGGGGGGCATTAGGCCAGCATTAGCTAGCAGGATCTCTGTTGCTCTCTTGCAGACTTGTGAGGTCCTGTTATCCCACGGGAACTGTAGCAGTAAGGGAAGTGCCTGTCAGACGGAGGATGAGGGAGGCCCAGGGGTCCCAGGCTGTTCAGCAGATCTGCCCCTGGACCCAGTGCTCTGTCGAGCCCATACCAAATGTGAGCAGACTCGGGCCAGCCTGAAGAGAGGAGAGTGGAGAGTGACAAGGGGACCTAGGCTAGAGGAGGAAAAGAATGCTCAGAACTGGAAGCTAGCAACTTAACATATCAAGAGTCTAAAACCCTAAATTTGAAGATTGCATTAGGATCCGAAGGCCCCTGCAGCTGAAGAAAAAAGAGTTCTAAAATACCCTATCAGCATCAATCGTGCAAGATTTAGAATAATCAAATGGAGTATGAAAAAGGTAGGCAGAGAGGCCAGTCCTAGCATTTTGGATCCTATAAAATACATGACTCCACAACTAAGTTATTCCCAGAGTCCTGTGTGGGTTCAAATTGTATAAACACGTGCAATGAAATACTTCTGTTAAAATACCCATCTCTTCCCTCTTAGTTTGTTTCAATACCTACCCGATTTTTTCTTTAAAATGAAACTATCAGGTCAAATGGGTTTGCATTAAAATTATTTCAAGTTTTCAAAAGATTTAAGATTAGTACTCGAGAAAGAAATGAAGCTTCTGTCCAAATATTTCAAATTTGAATCCCTCCACAGCAAAAATAAATGGATTTAAAAAGTCTTTTCAGGGGCAATTATGCTACCTTGAAAATGAAGGTAGATTTTAAAATAACTGTGCGTTAGAAGGAGTGTTAAGTACTAAAAAGAAATGAAAGAACCGTTAAGCTGGAAAATATCTTACCTTGAGAAGTTGAGGAAATGAACATGTCGAGTGAATAAATAGGGCTGTTCGGCAGTACTTATATTTTTAATCAGTTCCATCTATTAAAAAAAGTACAAAATTAGCATATATAGGATCTAATTTACCAAACTATACTAAGCTAAAGGTTATGTTCCCTACTCCTTTATCCTCACTATTACCTCTTGGACCCGGGCCAAAACAGCTGTGTTTGGTGCAGCAACTACGAACTTTACGGTAGGCTTCTTGTTGAATAAAACTGTTATCCAAATTTATAGTCCTGTATTTAATTTAGTTGATTGCTACCATGAAAACAATGTGACAGGTTAAGTCATTTTAACTGGAGAATTCAGCATCTGGCTGTACTGAAATGCAAGTAAAAAAAAGAAAAAAAGTCTTTATTCCCCTCCTTTAAAAGTCAAATCAAGAGGTTAAACATTATTTTACATTTCTATAATGATATTACTGAGATCCACAGAAATATTTGAAACTGGTTCTGCAGAATTTAACAGTGGGGAAAAAAAGGAGGTAACATCTCATGATTTTCCCCTTTGATTACAAAAATTTACAAAGCAAAATATTTTATAGGGAACACACAAATGCCCAAAACTTCTTGGGGTTCTGGTGGGTGGTCATCTGAAGTATTATATTTGCAGTTATCAGCAAGGCAAAGAGGAGTTTATATTTGTAGAAACCAACGTTTATGGTCTTCTGGAACATGTCAAAATGTTTAGCAAAATCTGTTAGAAATTCCAAGCATTCTTACGACTCCCTGACTTCCTGAATTCCACTTTCCTTAGAGTTTCTAATTGGCCCCATCAATACTGACACACAGTGGAATTCTTTAAGAGCACATTGAAAATGGCCACTTTGGATGGACATCAGAAGTACAGCATCTCTTAGGAACTAGAAAACTGGAAACAAAGGCAGTAGCCCGTGTGTTAACCACCGTGGCAGCAACAATGATAAAATCAGAGTCTGGAAATCCAGGACAGAAAACCCAGCTCTCCCTCATGTCCCACACAGGGCTGACAATACAGAAATGCTCAATAACTATTTGTTGGATGAAGGAACTCCAACTAGGACCTGCATCCAAGATTGTTACATTAGGACCTCAGTGTCTAAAGCCTTTAATTAGATATTCATGCTCACAATGATTGTTTAAAGAAATGAAATTGAATTTTAAAAGTCAACGACTTGCGGCTCATAACCTTGTGCTTTGTTCATCAGTGGCAGGCAGTGGTAACTAATGGTCTGCCTGTCCCCCAGCCAGAGCATAAAAGGAAATTGAATCCTGCCTCTTTATCTGCTGTTGATCCTTTACGTAACACCGCCCCCCCCCAAGTCTGTCCTAGCTGCTTTTGGCAATAGAACTCCCTGCTTGGTCACACTGCAAATTTTGATTTCTGATGGATCTACCCACTAGAATTACAGATTTGGAAGCACAACCCAAGACATCTGAGGATGTCTGCTTAGAAACATAACTCTTCACTGTGTGTGTGTGTTTAATATAAAGACCACTTAATGCTTTAATCTCTAGGTTATTTTTATTCAACTATGTCTCTGCACACATACGAGTAATATGAGAAAGCCCCCTGGTATTGTCCAGGAAGGCTGGAAGAACAGGTCAGATGAAAAACCGTTTCTTTCACATTTTCAACATTATATTACATTCTCTAAACACGTGTCAATGTGTTAAATTGAATGGAAGAACAGTAGTGGTTAGATTTGGAGAACAGTGTCATAATAGTCATAAAGCTGTCTATTTCACAGGGAGAAATGGATTAGCAGTGACAGCACGTAACCCTTTCTCGACGTACCTTTAAACACAGAAGGAAAGTACTAATGCTCATGTTTATTGCATTAGTACAGTGAAGGCGGGGAGTATATCCAACTCTCATACCTTCCATTGCTGCACACAAATAGTGAAGCCACTTACAAGGGACGGCTACCACAGGGTAGAGGCATTACAGTCAAGGTGTCCTTTGACTGTCTTCACAAATACTAAGACTTTCCCCAGGTCTAGGGCAGGCAGTGGTCTTCTGTGCCCATGCTGCCCTTCCCCAGAGTTCCCTCCTGCCTCCCTAAGCCCACCCCCCATATTGCCAGCAGCCTGCCTTTCCTCTTGCCTGAGTTTGATCCACATGGATGGCATAATAAGTGATGATGGCGCTACCTAAAATCATCTCAGAGACCACCTGTCGTCTTCCTTGGCTCATGCAGGATTGCTGCTGGCCTTTATTATGTATTCCACTGCCTACCTGCATTCACCATTCACTCATTCAGCATTTATTGAGCACTTACTAGGCCCTGGAGATCAAAACATAAATAAGGTGAGAGGGAAGGCACCGGAAGACCAGACAGTGGAGTGTGTCCCGATGGTGTCCCCAAATCCACGATGGCCCAACCACACTCTTGGTCCTCGTCCATCTTTAGCCCTCATCCAGCGTACTCCATCTCTGGAGAGTGTGGTCCTGGTTAATGGCACTATCCATATTTTTACATTTGATCTGGGTTTTTCCTGACTTTTGTACTTAATCACTTGCTGAGTCATGTTGCGTCTACCTTTATTCTCACCCTCAACTGGTGTTCAAGATGTCCCATGGCCAGCCAAACCAGACCTCTCTTTCTTTCTTCCTCACACTGTGTCCAAGCTCAGGCCCAAGCTTCCTCTTAAACGGAATGTCCTTCCTCTTTTCTCTGCCCGTCCAAACGCTAACCACCTTTACATCTAACTAAAATGCCTGCCTCTTTCAAACCAGCCTTCCTGGATCTCCTTTCATTCAACATCCATTGATTTCCAACTCTGTGTCAGGATGTATTGCTTGGAGTCATGGTTATAGAGATAAAAGATTTGGCTCTTGGGGCGCCTGGGTGGCTCAGTCGTTAAGTGTCTGCCTTCAGCTCAGGTCATGATCCCAGCGTCCTGGGATCGAGCCCCGCATCGGGCTCCCTGCTCAGCGGGGAGCCTGCTTCTCCCTCTCCCACTCCCGCTGCTTCTGTTCCCTCTCTCGCTGTGTCTCTCTCTGTCAAATAAATAAATAAACTCTTTAAAAAAAAAAAAAGATTTGGCTCTTCCTCTCAGGAAGCTCAAGGTCTTGTGGGTGAGATGGACTGGCAGGCAAGTCTCATTATGCAATAACCACCACAGGGTAGCATGCACAGAGTCACGGGAGGCATCTATCTCTGCCTGCAGATGGAGAGGTAGTGCTCCCCCAAGGACGCATTCCTGAGTGGCCTGCAAGGACCTGCAGGAATGACCAAGTGAAGAAAGGGACCCGCAGCACTGCAGACAGAATGGACAGGAGATGCAAAGGACAAAACTCGAAATGACCTGGATATTAAAATTGCCAGGAGTTCTGTGTGCTGGAGGTCAGGTGTGGGATCTGCCCGCAGCAGGTGTGACTAGAGAGGAAGGTCACTGAGGGCCCTGGAGGTCATGTGAGGAACTTTGACATTTATGCTCTGGGCAATCCACAGTCAGAAAGGGCTTTTTTTTTTTTTTTTTTTTTTTTCCTTCCAGATCTGTGATCAGGGTGGAGAATGTGAAGAAGAAGGAGAAGAAGGGAAAGATTAGGGACAGTTTAGCTAGGAAGATGGAGCAATAATCCCCATAGGACATGATGAGGGCCTGAACTAAAACAGTGCTTCCTGGCGTGGCCCCCAGACCAGCAACATCAGCAACAACTGGGGTAGCAACTTGTTAGAAATGCAAATTCTCAGATCTCACCCCAACCAATGGAAACAGAAGAAACTCTGGGGGTGGGGACCTATCAATCTGTATTTTAACAAGCCATCCAGGGGATTCTAAGGGACTGAGATGTGAGAACCACAGAAAGAAGTCACTGGAAGTGAAGACAGATGGGGAGGTTTAGCAGATGTTAACGAGAGAGGATTTTCTCAGCCCTGTGGCCAGGTGGCGGCAGAAGGGAAGGAGAGTGGTGGCGAGAGCTTCCCAGAGCCCCCGCGGTATCTGAAGGCAGGCCACTGCCCACTCATGGGGACGGGGAATGCTGGGCAGGAACTAGTCTGGCTGCAGAAGTGAGGCCATATAGGTTTGGTTTTGAACGTCTTTGGCTTGAAATCCTGTTGTCTTCTTTTATCTCCCACAGCGCTTCGAGAATCTTCTAGAATGTACACTTTTTACTTTACATCATAGTTGAGTTTGTGCACTAGCTTTGAACCACATTTTAAGCTCCTTGAGGGTTGAGGCTGGGCTCTAATTATTTCTCCAGAAAGCCTAGCACAGAACACATACCTCATAATTGCTTATGGTGTGAAGACGCCCCATTCAGAAAGACTTTTTTGGAGTCAAGAAATGTTCACTGAAGACAGAATCCTCTCTCGGGTGATGAAGTTAGCCTTTTGGGGACAGACCTGTCCATTCATCACCCTGGTGTGACAACATCGGAGATGTAGCAACACTAAATGATCATTTCCTGAGTGGTTTCTGGGCTACACACTGGACCCAGAAGCTCTTTCTTCATATGCTGTCATTCATCCTCAAATGACTCCACAGGTTAAGTATTATTATCTACACTTTATAGATTAAGAAACTGAGGCACAGAAAGGCTACGGAGATTGCTTAGGGCCTCACTGGTAGAAAAGGGTGGAGTCAGGATTCAAACCCAAGTTGGTTAGACTCCAGAAATCCTGCTCTCTTTTGCTGAGCTGCAATCTCTTCACCGTCCCCGGTGCTTTTTGATCTATACATAACCTCTTAAAATGGGAGGAAGAGGTTGGTTAGCAAAATAACTCCAGAGACTAAAGAGGGTTTATGGGGATATAAATTTTCTACCTTTCATGTGATGTGCTGAAAAACTGAGAGAAAGTTACAACAGGTGGAAAAGCATTAAAAAATAATAAATTATGAAAGCATTAAAATATCAGCAAGAATATGTATTTTTTTAAAGTTCTAGGTGGGAAAACAGTATATTTTAACAAGAACAGGAATGAGTTTCAAATACTGGGAGAAAAAAGTGCTACGGAATGGAATGTATCTAAAGGAAGAAGTTAAACCACAGTGCAGCTGAGAATGAAAGTGAATTGAGGTTTAAAAAAAAAAAGGTAAGAATCAAACAGA